TGTTTTAAGTGAGACCAATTAGTATACTGGAAAAATTTACGCTGATTTTATCATAATGGCTAGAGAGAGTATAAAATCTACTAATTGCAGATGCTGATGTATCAAGGATGGAAGGTTATCTCGGTGAGACCAAAAAGGATGTGAAGAAGGCTTGCGAAGTGCAACATAGAACTTCATCCAAATTGGCAAAGCTCTGTGGGAATGCTATGTCTCAAATCATTTCCCTCTCAAATGCCTGTGAAGTGGACGTTACAGAACAACTAGTAAGTTTAATGTTATTCCTCTATCTATATCATTCTGTGAATGTGTTCCAGACGGCTCAAATTCATGAACTCCAAATAATGACTGAGGACGTCTCTCACACATACTCGAGCTTCAAAGCCGAAATGGATAAATTAACAAAAGTTTTTCAAGAATTGAGGAAGAGTTCCGAGTTCATGGTGACTTTTTATCTCAAAATTTTTTTCTTTCCCTGAATTTCCGCAAATCAAGAGTTTCCAATATCTTTGTTTTCCACCACCTTCAGAAATTTACAAGAATAAGCAAATTTATCATGTTGCTTCTTTATATGATTTTCTTCAACCTCCAGGTCCAGCAAAGGCTCAACACGATAGATGAAGATCGTTCCATCCGTACCGCTGCAATAGAATCGCTGCGAAGACAACAGAAAAGAACTACTAAGGTACAATTTACCGGCTATTGCTTCGTAAAACATCTTTTTTTAAATGTTTTTTTTTATAGATAGAAGAACTGGCTAGTGCTATTGTAGCGGAATGCAGTCAATACCAGCTAGAGAGTAAGGAGGTTATAGACTCGTAAGTATTACCTCTTATAAAAGTATCCTTTCTCTCTCCCCCTCCTTTCTCCTCCTCATTCTCGTCTCTCTCTCTCTTAATGTTGTGGTTGTTGCTAACAAGATCATTGTTCGAATGCTATTCTGATGCCATCAAATGAATTGTTGTTCAAACAACGCAATACAGTTCAAATCTCTTTTATTTTCTGACTTAAGCAAAATTATCAACAAAATCGCAGTGATACAATCTCAAAGTATTGAGGTTTTTCTGACATTTATGCTTAAAGAACTGGTTTTACTTACTAGCTTGAAACAAAGGAGAAACCAGAATTTATTTTTTATGTTGTAGATTTCTCCCTATTCTAGTATGGAAGTTCAAAACCGTGACGTTTATGAGAGACATTTGACCGAAATTGATACATGGGCATCGGAATTCCAAGGACAAGAGGACATTGCCTTAGAAGCAGTGCAATCTTTGCACATTGCACTGGAAGAAGGAAATATGTCTGTCAGCAATAAAAGGTTTTTTTCAAGCTTGGCCATCATTTTGGAAATGATTTCTAATTCTTCAAATTGTAGCTCGTCAATAACTTGCGCTCTAGGTGAGACCTGCTCTAAGGCGAGCGATCTCAATGAAAAGTTAAAGGTTGGTCAGGACAATTTCTGCAATTTATAATATTTAAGCTGTCAAATAGCTGAAGTTTCTAGAAAGACGCGAACGACTTCGAAGCTAGACTAACTTCGGCGAACAATTCTGGTTATGAGGATATGAAGAATATCATGGACTCAATTGATCGTCTGTGTGACGAACTTAACAATGTTAAGGACGAAGCTTTGAAAAAAAGAGAGGCTGAGCAGAATAATCAGGTATGTTTGTGT